GGCAGTGACGTCCGGCCGTGTGGTGTCGGCACTTTTGACACACTCCTCCACCGCGTCGGCCCGACTGCTGGAAGACCTCCATGCTGAAGCGGCACTTGTCGGAATGGCCGTTGCACTCGCAGGCTGAATGTAGGACAGAAGTATTTGACTTGATTTAGAAATCAGGTCTACAGACGACATTCAGGTTATTTGACCGATTCTTAGCATCACTTTGTATTTTTATGAACAACTTTAGTCGTCATTCGGTGTAGACTTTATTTTATCTACTTTCTACCAAACGTGGTCTTATTCAGTCAAGAACACCCATCAAGTTACTTTTGAGGTGTAACGTCATTCAAACCTGCAGAAGGACTTTACGTTCAGCAGCCACTGTGATAAAATCAGGTGACAAGGGACAGGCTACAAAGAGCAGCACACAGAGTTCACTTCTGTACTGCTGTAAATCTCAGGCATGTGGTCATCTATGGATGTTACAGCTTAAAAAGGAGAAGAAGAACTCCTTCATGGCATTGAATGAATCACAGGAGGCCTGCTGTGGATCTCGAGCTTGTCTGTAGTACCCACAGTTCTTTGCAGTGAGACTTCAAACATAGAAGCACTCATTTTTACACAGTTCCACCACACTGAAGGTGTTTCGTGTTCTTTTCAGATTAGAGGAGGAGAAAAGATTGGTCTTCTACCAATCTTGGAGTCTTTCCAGGGCTGGAGAGTTAGAGCCAGTCCATCACACGACCACACTTAGGGTCCAACAACCGTTCACACTCATATTCACACCTTTGGTAATTAAAAACCTAATCCCATCTGTTTTTGGGTTCTTGGACTGGAGCACCTGGATAAGAGGTCCATGAGACTGAGCGCAGTACTACAGTGTACTAAAAGGTATTTAGAAAACACTGACGGTAGCTTATGTAACAGCGCTAACGCAGGAGGAGAAGTAGAAGAAGAATTCTGGCGACTCACCTATACAAGGGTTTGGGTGTGTGGGTGTAGCTCGATGCCACGGACGGTCAAAGTAAAAATCCTCACACACATCACAGTCTGGCCCTGCAGTGTGATGCTCACACACACACACAGCTCGTCCCGTGTCATCACGGCGACACTTCGAGGCGTGTCCGTTACATTTACACCTTCCTCCGACCTGCAGGTCCGACAGAGCCAGAAAAGGTTGGACGGGGGAGACAGAAGCTGTGGACAGCGCCACCTGAGGGTCCCTGGAGTTCTGTTTTGTGTTTAGATTATGGTTCCTCCTTTTCCTCAGTTCCCGCCCTTTATTGCCCTGGTTGCGCCCCTCCAACATCCAGTTACAGTCACCGTTAGGGCAAGGCAACCAGTGACTGTTGTCTTTTTTATGACCACGCCCTTTACCTTTCCGACCTTTCTTGGAAGAAATAATTGTGTCCAATGGAAAAGTGTCTCCTCCTTCCTTGCTGGTCACATTGTGTCCATCTTCTTCTTGACGTGATCCTTTATTATGACCTTTCCTTACATGTTTGTCCACTTTCTCTTGTTTATTGCGCCCTCTTGTCTCGGTGTGTTTTAGCTCCCTGTCAAAAAATGCCAGTGTATTTTCCGTGTTCAACTTGTAGCCCGATCTCCCCCATAGGAGACCAGTCCCTCCGTTGTCTTCACTGCTCCCCTGCCCTTGTTTTTCATCCCCTTTATCGTTTGCAACTTTAGGGATTGGGTGGAAGACTACACGTATGTCTGTGGCCGTCACCCAGTCCTGGAGTGTAGGGCTGTGGTCAAAGTCAGCAGAGGACGGTCTTCCATCTAGGGTTGAGAAGGCCAGCACCATGCCCCCTCTCTGCTTTTGCAGAGGACGAGGGTCTGAGCACAGAGCTTCCGTCTCCTGGTGCCTGGTCTGAGCCACGGTCTGGGTCGGCAGCCCAAAGTTTCCCTGGCAGTCACTGGAGTAGTGCTGCATCGGCTTCCAGGTGCGTCCATAGTTCATCGACTTGAGGATGGAGATGGAAATGGGATCTGACGGCTCCCCCTGCTGGCAGAACTGCAGGCTTATGTAGGTGATCTCAAAGCGGCGACCCAGTGGTATAGTGATCACCCACTCCCCGCGCTCTGTCCCTCTGCGAGCCATCCAACAGGTGAGGTTGTGAGGATTGTGGAGGTCCGTCAGGGCGGTGACGTTGCCGTCCCGGTCGAGTCCTTGAATGGAGTGACTGGCATTGACCGGGACACCGTAGGCAGCATTGATGAACTCCGACATGCAGTGGCGTGGCCGTCCATCTAGGTGGTAGCAGGGGTTGTGGGGAGAAGTCCAGCTCAGGGGGGTGTGGAAAAGAGAAGAGGAGACGAGGGATGGAGGGAGGAAAAGAAGCAGCAGGAAAACAGGGAACAGGGAGGTGGAGGGGGGAGGGGAAAAGGGTAGGAACATCATGTCATTGAGCCTGTGGGAAAAAAAAAAAACGTTTACAGTTAAAGGGTTAGTATTTAGAATGATCTTTTCTATTACCTTCATTCCAAAAGGAAAGCATCATTTTGTATTAAACAGGAAGTCTTGTTTATATCGAAACAGTTTTGTACTAGCACACTCAATTAATGAACCGTGGCTTTGCACCTGCTTTTATAGCACCATCTGGAGGGGAGAAAAGTTATAGCCACCTGTTATACAAGTACCTATGTATCTGTGCTAGAGACTGATTTTCTGGAATTACTATCTTGTCAAAAGGAACCATGGGAGCTGGCTCATAAAAACAGACCCAGTCTGATTGATTTATACGACTTCTATTGAAGCCAAAAAAGGAAATCTTACGTTGACCACCTGGGTCTTTATTTAAAACACACAGCACTACCATGCTGCATCCTGATTGGCTCCAGGAAGAAGAGCTCAACCCATAAAAGATGTAATCTGGAATCTTCACAGAGGTGTCGGCCACCAGTTTGAACTTGTGACCCCGACAGCCTTTAAGAACGTATTAGTCTTAAAAAAAAAAACCTGCTGGATGAATGAAACTGGGTGAAGAGGTGCCGTGCACCCACCCACCCGCGGGTCTGTCTGAACTGACAAAAAACATGCCCAACAGCTGGGGCCAAAGCCCGAGCTGGACCACATCCATCATGTTTATGGTTTTCTCTCTTTTTCAAATCATTTACCGACAGCGAATGCTGCAGGCGAGCAGAAAAGAAGGCTATGAGAACGTAGATGGAGGGGGAGAGGAGAGGAGTAGGGAGATTAGTGTCTGAGATTGTAGGGAATGATTTATCGATCGAAATGGGTGTTCAACATCAGACTTCCGCGCTGCAGACAAACACGGGCTTGTGTACGCCCGCGGTGCAAATAGATCCATTTCCGTCCCTTAAAAACTGGTGATGTGAGTAATTTATTCCTTTGTCAAGATTAATTTTGTGGTCATGGCATGTGGCCACGACCAACCAGGAATCCACTGCTGCCGGAAGCAGTTGTTATTGTTTTTAATAACTCGCATTGAGCCCAGAGGCACATTCCCTCCGTGGCTTCTTTCGTGAGAAGAAAGTTCAACATTTCCCACTTTCACTTTTGACTCATTCTTGACTCTGTTCTTTACAGAGAACAAACAGCTTTCCCCACTGCTGCTCCGTCTCCATGTCCATTTATCACCTGCCCCCTTCATTCTGCTATGGGAATATTCTTAACTGCTCCGAGATTGATGATGTCCTAACAAGCGTTTGACACTGACAGCAAAGTCAGCAGGGCTGCATAAACCAAACCCGTAGGAGAGGACGGGGGCCGGAGAGCCTCTGCGGCCTCGTCACCCTGCTCAATTAGCCAACGACCGAAATCTGAGGCTTCCCTCGGGGACCACACAGCTCCGAGGGGCCGGCGGTGCAGGCGGGAACGCCTTCTGCTGCCTTAGACAAATTGCTCTCTTCCTAAAAATGAAAAAGGGCAGATCAGGTGCCAACGGCTGCCTTTTTTTGTGGACCTGCCACAGGAAGCGTTGAACGGTGCAAGTGCGGCGATGAGCAGTGTCACCATGACCTTTGGTGTCACTGAGCCGCATTCTCCTTGTCCAGAATGTCCCGGCTGGTCATTCTTGACATGTCGAGACATGTCCAGAGGGGATGGGGAAAGCACTGATAAAAAGCTGACGCTGTGATTAATAAGGTCTCTGATTTCATTTGGTGGAAATGTCTCGACTGCGTAAGACGGGAAGGTGAGGATCATGGGTAGGCTAAAGGTTATCAGGGGATTCACTGGCCCTCGGAGTGTTGCTTCTGAAAAGGCCAGGCCCGTCTGCTTCCAGGACTGCAGTGGGTTAAACATGCAGGGCTGCAAAGAGAACGCTTGTTTAACATTCCCATGACATGCACTTGCTCTTGTCTTTGTCACATTACATGACTAATTAAACATCACCGTTACAACCAGCTCTTTGATAAATGGATGCTCATCCCAGAGAGGCCCCTGAGGTTTTTAATGCGCCCCACAAGGCCAAATCCAGACTCTCTGCTCCTCTGAAACTGGATCATCTGTCTGGCACGGCCATCGTAACCCATCGGATACGGTTTCAACTGTTTTTCTCTGCAGCTTTCCATAAATTCACACGGCCGGGCTATCGGAAGAGAACTCTGAGGGCGAGCGGCATTCCCTGTAAAGTGTCACTGGAGGAGTCCGAAATGCCAGCTCTAGACATGAAGGTGTATTTAACACCAGTTTACTTGTTTAGATACTGTATAAGGACTACAAATAGCTCCTGTGTGAACGGGGCCGTCATCACCTCTGTTTATCTCACAGGAAAATCCTGTTAGAATAACGTTGAAAAACTGCTTCTCCTACGGCAGTAAAGGCTAACATTAGCTTAAAAATGCAACAAATTCAAAGACATATATTAAATGTATAATACAGGTCAAAATGCAAATTTGTTTATGTAAATCTCAACCACATCAGTTTGGATCAAATGTGAAGAAAAAAAAAATGTAAATCTCAACCACATCAGTTTGGACCAAATGTGGAGAAAAAATTGTTAAAAGGAGTACATTCTGCTCAGGTTTTTAATTTTAAAAAGTAACTAAATTTATGGCCCTAACAAATTAGAACAACCTACTAAACAAACAAAATTAAAGATAAGTTATAGCTGAAAATGTAGCCAGTAACAGACAAATAAACATTTTGTTTAGAAATAACTAAACAATAAAATATCAGCGTAATTATTTAGCAATTATCCACAAACATATTAGCACAAATAGCTTAATTTGGTAAAATAGAAACCAAAGCTAGCTAACCAAAGCTAACATACATATGGCATGGATTCAGACAACATACTTTAAAGTAAACAAATAAATTATCAAACAATAATTAATTTAATTTAACATTATTTATAAATTTAATACAAAGCATCTCCAAACGTATCTTGCCAAAATTTAAAATGAGATTACACATGCTACAAAAAAGTAGCAGAAAAAAAACTTAGTTTCAACCAATCAAATCAAAAACCTTGAAACAAAAAGCAGATTTCAAAGAGATTAAAATAGATTATAAAATTTTGGGCCCAATTTGCTTGACGTTAACTCTAAAAAGACCAAAAAAGTTACAGCTACACACGCCGCTGTAGCTTAATAATAACGACCTAACTTCCTGTTGTGGGTTTAAATGTCACTGGATGAGTCTTTCAAGGACACTGCATAGAAACTACAAATAGCCCCGGTCTGAAACAGCCATCGTCACCATAATTCTTTTTTTTTTTACCAAAACAACACAAAATAAAGATCTCTGAAAAAAGTGTGTAAAGTGGCCTCGGCTCAGTGAAAACGTCTTGTTCTGACGGGGTAACAACCTGAGTCCTTTCACAAAGGAGCTTATGGAGTGAAATAGTGCTGCTGTGATGAGGTCGACTCAATCTCCTGCGGCTCTGCTCTGCAGCAGCCGCTGCTATGCTTGGCTGGCAAGTGGCTGGAAAAGTACTTGCTGACAACCTGAGGGCA